CGAACTCACGACTTTGCGCTTGCCAGGCAGGCGCTTTTGCCGCTGAGCTAAATCCCCAGCCCTTCTCTGTATCAATTTTAAAATGTGAATCAGCAGTTATCTCAAAATAAAAAAAAACTTTAAAAATCTTTTTTTTGTTGTTTTTTTGAGACAGGGTCTCACTATGCAGTTCAGGCTGGCCTTGAACCTACTTATATATCCTAGGCTAGTCTTGAACTTGCAATGATCCTCCTGCCTCAGCCTCCCAAATGCTGGGATTACAAGCATGCACCATTACACCCGGCTAAAAATCTCTTAGACTACAGGCTAAACACTTTTAGAACTAGATTCTTACTAAATGCATTTAGTAAAAAAAAAAAAAATTAAATAAATAAATAAATAAAAGCATTTAGTGCTGGAACAGTGATTTCACTTTTAACACACCTTCAAGTATATGATAATGAAATGCTACCACTCTCCAAACATCTCATATAGTACTTGGTTTGTACTTATTTTTCACTTAAAATGTCATAAGTTTTGAAATAGTAAAATAAGTATAAAGAGAATTATGCTGTAAAAATAAAATAGTTATATTGTCCGATATTGGTATACATCATGTAAACCATAGATACTAAATGACAGGTCTTTTCTGGCCCATGAAAGATTGATTAGTAGTGTCTATGTAAAGGATATGTGGTGCTTAGTTCCTGTCTTTCTCTAACCTGCTTTCTAGTGACCAACACCTGGTGACATGAGCTTTGGGAGAATGTGCACTGCTTAGGAACATCAATTAGCAGTTATACAGGATGGACAAACAGTTCTGTTACCAAAACCACAATCACTACCACATAGATCTGTATTCACTGGAAGTGGACCAACCTGGAAGAACATTTAAGGAAAAGAAAAAAAGGCTAGTAAAAAAAGGTTTAAGTATAGGATGAAAGTAATGGAAGAAAATAAAAAAGTATCATAAAATGAGAAATAAACATTGAAGAAAAATGTACTACAAACAAAAACATTTTTCAAACCATGGTCAAAATTATATGAATAGGGCCAAACTTTTAAAAGACTAAATGCTTATAATATATTAAATAACCTAAGAACAGACTATGGTATAGTCTGGAGAAAAAGTGAAAATGTAAACTGATAATATAAGTAGAATAAACATGGCTTTATAGAGATATAAATGGCTCTCTTCTAGACTGGTGTGAAGGATGGACAGTAGTGTAGACCATGACTAAATCCTGGCCAGTACCAAAATTCAGTGAGTACGGTTTCGAGAAAGCACCTTAGAAAGTAGGCAGGATTCAGTTGGACAACGCTTTTTCCTGTCTCTACCTTTCCTATCTCTATGTTCATCTTTCCTAGTACTATAGTTTAAAGATGTTTTGTTCTCACCCCCTCCAAGAACTGCTACATAAATTCATGTTGAAATTTGATTACTACTGTAGCAGTCTGGGGAGGTGGTGCCTTTAAGAGGTGATCAGGTCACTAAGAGGGAGGAACAGGTCTTCTTGGGACTGGATTAGTAACAGAGTGAGTTGTTATGAAGTGAGGCCACCTCCAGTGTTTTGTCCCTTCCACATGCACCCACATGCCCTTCCACTTCTCCATCACAGTAGGATGCAGTATGGGGCCCTTCTCTGAGAAGCTGCCTGATCCTGGAGTTCTAGCTTCTGAAACAGTTAAAGTTCTTTGCTTTATAAGTTACCCAATCTCAAATTTCTTTCATAGTAATAGAAAATGGATTAAGACATCTGGAAGGCAGACTTGATGGCTGGAGGTGTAATCTCAAAGAGCAGGAAGACAAACAAACACCTGGGACAGCAACCTGATTATCTACTTTCAGGTTTCTTTCATAGGCAAAAAAAAAAAAAGTACAACAACAAAAAACCCAATCTTACCTTACTTGAGCCCTTAATTACACAAGTTTTAAAAATCAAAGGAATTCTTTGTTTTGTTTTGTTTTGTTTTGACACAGGATTTCATTATGCAGTTCAGGCTGGCCTTAAACTCACTTTGTAATCCTGGTATTACCCACATACCAAAATAAGAGAAAGACCCAAAGAAGAAAGAGAACTACAAACCAATCTCCCTAGTGAACATAAATGCAAAAACCTCAGTAAGATACTGGCAAACAGAATGCAGGAAATTATCAAGAAAATTATACATCATAATTAAGAAGGATTCATTCTAGGGATGCAGGGATGGTTTAACATATGCAGATCTATAAATATAATACATCACATTAACAGAGCCAAAGACAGAAACCACATGATCCTCTCAGAGGCAGAAAAAAAATTTGACAAAGTCCAACACCCATTTATAATAAAAACCCTACAAAAATTTGCAATAGATGGTCTTTATTTCAATCTGATAAAAGTCATCTATGACAAATCAACAGCTAACATCAAAAACTGAAAGCTTTCACTTTAAAATCAGGAACAACACAAGGATGCCCACTATCACCACTCTTATTCAATACAGTTCCGGAAACACTAGCCAGAGCAATTAGACAAGAAAAAGAAACAAAGGAATAAGTATAGGGAAGGAAGAAGTTAAATTACTGTTATTTGTGGATGACATGATACTCTACATAGAAGATCTCAAAAACTATACCCAAAAACTTGTACATTTATTTATTTATTTATTTTTGGTTTTGGTTTTTCTCTGGTACCGGGAACCGAACTCACGACCTTGCGCTTGCCAGGCAGGCGCTTTTGCCGCTGAGCTAAATCCCCAGCCCCAAACTTGTACATTTAATAACCAAATTCAGTTACAATACAAAGGATACAAAGTTAACACTCAAAAATCAATAGACTTCCTATACACAAACAACAAATTCACTGAGAGAAAAAGGAAATCAAACCTTTCACAATAGCATCCAAAAAAAAAAAAAAAAAACCTAGGAATCAATCTAACAAAGTAAAATACATTGAAAATTACAGTATCCTAAAAAAGGAGATCAAAGAGGATATAAGAAAATGGAAGGCTCTTCCTTGCTCATGGATAGGAAGAACTAACATTGTGAAAATGGCCATACTCCCAAAACTGTTATACAGATTTAATGCAATTTTGATCAAAATACCATTAGCATATAAGAAAAAACATTCCCAAAATTCATTTAGAATCAGGGGAGACCTAGAATAGCAAAAAAAATTCTGTGCAACAAAGGCAAGGCAGCAGGCATCACAATCCCTGACTTGAGATTATACTACAATGCTACTGTGATAAAATCAGCATGGTGTTGGCAAAAAAAACAAAACAAAACAAAACAAAAAAACCCAGATCCAAAGATCAGTGGAACAAATTTTTTTTTTTTTTTTTTTCTTTTCAAGACAGGGTCTTGCTATGCAGTTCAGGCCGGCCTTGAGCTCACTTTGTAGCCCAGGCTGGCCTCGAACTTGCAACGATCCTCCTGCCTCAGCCTCCCAAGTGCTAGGATTACAGACGTGTGCCACCACGCCTGGCTAGTAGAACAAATTAGAAGATGCAGAAACAACTCCAAGCACACTCAGCCACCTTATCTTTGACAAAGGGGCCAAACATGTTCACTGGAATAAAGAGAGCCTCTTTAATAAATGGTGCTGGAAAAACTGGCTTTCCACATGCCAAAGACTAAAACTAGACCCATGTTTATCACCATGCACTAGACCAAAGTCAAAATGGATCAAAGATCTAAATACTAAAACAGAAACACTAAACCTATTGGAAGAGAAAGTAGGTAGAAATCTTGAAGACACAGGTGTAGGCAGAGCGTTCATAAACAAAACCCAGAGTGCAAGGAAATAATTCAAAGAAACTACAACTGAGATCTCATCTTATTAAAAAGCTTTTTGCACATCAAAAGAAATCACCAAAAGAGTGAAAAGACAATGCAGAGTGGGAAAAAATTTTAACCAGTTTCCCTCAAAGGACTTCTATCTAGAACATATAAAGAATTAAAAAAAATCTGACCCCCAAAATTCAAGGACCCTCTCCAAAAATGGGCATCTGAGATGAATATACACTTCTCAGATAAAGAAATACAAATGATAATACATATATGAAAAAATATTCAATACCATTGGTCATTGAAGAAATGCAAAATAAAACAACACTGAGATTACATTTCACCCCAGAAAGGATGGCTATCAAGAAATCAAGCCGTAACAAATGCTAGAAGGGCTGTGGGGAATAAGGAACCACTCTCCACTGCTGGTGGGAGTGCAGACTAGTGCAACCACTGTGGAAATCATTGTGGAGATTCCTTAAAAAACTAGAATTGGGGGTCCCATTTGACTCAGCTATTCCCCTTCTGGTTATCTTCCCAGAACCATTAAAAACATTATAGCATAGCAATATATGTGCACCAATCAAGGAATGAGTAAAAAAGATGTGGTATTTTTATACAATGGAGTACTACTCAGCCATAAAGGAGGATAAACTTGAGACTCGTGTAAGGTAAATGGATGCAACCTGTGGCCATGCTTACAAGTGAAATAAATCAGACTCACATGTGCAAACATCCTATTTTCTCCCTAGTGTGAGAAAATGAGAGTGAATAGTGTCTAAGGTATATAATGGATATAGTGAGTGGAAGAAATTATTCAAAGGAAAAGGAGAAGTATGATGGAGAGAGGGGAAAAGGGAAAAAAAACAGTCAGTTATTTTATTAGTGTCTCCTAGTTCACTGAAAAGGAAGGTTTGTGCCAATATTAACTGAAGAAAATTTTAATGTCCAGATCTTGTACTCTGAATAACTACTTTAAAGATAACATTGTGCACTATATTATCGATTGTTATTCTCCTATTTTGTTAGGAAATTTTGTTTTACCTTTATTCCATAAAATAAAAAAGTAACAAATAATGAAGATTCCCTTGTATAGCAATATACAGTTAAGATAGGTCATAGCCTTTGTTTTTTAACAGCAGCTACGATTTACATAGTGCTTGATACACACTAGATTTTCAACTGCTGTAGTGAATCAATTTTAATTTTGAATCATTTAGTCTTCACCCTTTCATCTACTCTTGTCCTCCTTTGTAGCTGTCATAGGAGGGGATGACCAGTGTCACGAGAGAGAGTGCACCCATGTGGGAGATCAGATGTTTTACTTTTGCAGTATTGGGGATTGAACACAGGGTGCCTCCACTGAGTTATATCTCTATCTTATATCTCCACCTTTTAAAAAAATTTTTAAGATAGGGTCTCTCTAAGAAGTTAGTTGCCTAGGCTAGGCTGGAATTTTCAATTTTCTTGCCTTAGGCTCCCACAGTTTCAGAATAATAGGCATGGACCACCATGTCCAGCTGCATAATCAGAAAACTATGATTTCATCCTATCTTTGTTCTCATCTAATGAGCTAACCAGACTGACTACAGGCAGTAGGTCAATTTACCGATACATAAAACAGGAAGCAAAACAAAGAGCTTTTTTAGCCAAAGTGGATAAATTATCAACATTTATGAAAATAGAACATTAAAGAACAAAAAGCCCTACTGATACCATACATGCTTTATCTTCAAAATTTATGTGGTAGAAACAGCAGTTGTTATACTAATTCCTTTCACTTTTTTGCCTATTTATTCTATTAAAGCATCTCCTACCATCATAATGATGGAAGAATATCTTTTATAATTTCATAGCCTAATGTAAAAGTCTATCAAAATAATCATGCATGGCAATTTTATGTGATTTCATTTTATACTGTTAAAGAATCACTGTTCCCCTTGCATACTTATAAATAAAAATAATCATTTTATAAACTGTATTTTATCAGGGTATTATTTTACCCCATCTACTAACAAATTTATACTTAATACTAAGTGTTGACATTATTTTTTTTCTCTCAAGTAGACAAAATGGATGCTCTCAATACAAGATTGAAAGTACTTTTTAACATTCTAAGTTTCTATTTGCATTACTTCTCATTTAAAATGTTACTTACAGCTATCTTGTCACTTTCTAGTACTATTTCATCATCAAAATTGTTATTTGTTTCTGTATCCATCCTTGGCTTTTTTCTAACATCAACATCTTTCTCTTCTTTTTCAACTTTTACTTCCATTTCTAATTCTGGTCTTGTGTTCTTGAAAAACTGCTCCAATTGTTCATCTTCTATGGAAAAATCAATTTCTTTTCTTTTCTTTGATCTTAGATTTTGTGTAGAAAGAGATTTACTGGCAGAGCTTTTCACACTGGATTGTAAGTCAACATCATCTGAAAATAAGTTTTCTGATTTTGTGTCCATAGGTTCATTCTGAGACAGACTTTGCTCTTTGTTTTTCCACAGTGAGGTTATAGCAGGTTGTGTTTGCTCTAAAAGAGAACAAGACATTTCTATTCTTGCTGATTTGGATGAAGACATTTCTTGGTTTTCTTCATCCCTTTCCCTTTAAATTAAAAAAGAAAACAAAACCAGAAAAGGAATACAGTTAAGTAAGTTTTTTAGTTGGCAATATTTATGACCCGCCTCCATATAATTTTCAATCTGTTCCTAATATATTGATTACACTGGAAATCAACAAACATCTGAGCCCGGTATGGTGGTGCATGCCTGCAATCCCTGTATGCAAGGGGGCCGAGGCAAGAGAATCACTGTGAGTTTGAGGCCAGCCTGGTCTACACAGTGATTTCAAAACCAGCCTGAACTACAGAGACACCCGACTCAAAAAAGAAAAAAAAAACAAAAAATAAATTAAAAAGTTAAACACTGTACAAAATTCACACATTCTACTGCTTGGGTAACACTGACAGTCCTTTGGTTAAAGGAATATGGACATTTCTACCTTCTCTGAAGTAGGATTAGCTGACAAATCAATGTGGAGGAAAAAGAAGAAAAATATAAAGGACCTATTCCCAGGAGACAGTACCTCACTTTATACTGTAGAAAGAATTTGTGGGCATGGAAAAATGAACCTAGGAATATAACCTAATGAATTAATGACAGCTAGATTCAAGATAATAAACCATGTAGCTAAATCTAGAATATGGCATCAGCTGTTCTTATGGTTTGTGTCTGGATGTCTCCCCCAAGCTAAATAAACCTTTCCTTCCTTAATTTTGGGTGTCAGATATTTTGTCCCAGCAATGAGAGAAAAGTAACCAAGATAGCTGTATACTGTAAATATTATGTGAATATATCACTAAGAATATTTTAAACGACATCATATCATTCACTTAATGCTGTATGTACTGAACACCGTTTAAGTGGATTGATTGCTTCAAGGCCCACAGAAGGTACAGGCTTGAGTCTCTTTTCTCTATGAATTTATTGGAGTCATGCTGAATTGGAACATTAAAGGTGATATTCTATTAACAGGGTACAGGACAGAAACACCGACTGAAAAGTTTTTGTAATAATTCAGGTGATGAGTTTGAAGTTAGGAGTTGGCAACAGATGTAGACAGCAAGGGAGGGACTGACAAGAAACTGTTCATAAGAACCTGGGGTGACAAAGGAGAAGTAGCAAGCTAACTTTACCTCACGAGAAAGGTGATCAAGGGAAATAGGCAGAAATGTGATTAGTGAACTTGGGTATGGGTGAATTCTTCAAGAGAATGCAGTAAATAAAACAGTAAATAAAACAGTAAAATAAAACAGCTTTTATTTTATATGAAAGATAAAGGAAAAGCTGTCTAATGGTCTCAGGGAAGGAGACTGGTACATTTCTGAGGGAATGAGTCCAAGGGTCACAGCTTTCCACAGAAGCGTACTTAAGCTGAACAGACTAAGGAGACTACTACTCTACAGCAATATAAAAATACTAAGGGTTTTTCGAGACATAGTACAAGTGTTACTTTAAACGTACCTTTTTTTGGGAGATGGTTGAAAGTAGTTTTTAATGGTATTTGTCTGTTGCTGTTGAGAAGCCCGATCTCTTTTACTTACACTTGGGAAATTAGTTGGTGAAAGCTGATAGTTTTGCATTTTTGCCCTAACTAGAGTACTTGATACTATGTTATTATTGGAGCTTGTTTTGGGTGGTTCTTTTATACTGGACATTTCTTGTGAAAATGTTCCGAATTTTTGTTCCATTCTGGAGATTTTCATTTCTTTTGGCTTTTCACTGGGATACATACTGTAACGAAAGAAAAGAATCCAAGGTAACCATCAAGTTAGCAACACTTTTTTATCCAAAACCAAAGATCCTTCAATAGTTCTAATGTAACATAATTTTAGAAGATGATCTTTATTAATAATTCAGTGAATAGATTTTACCACTTCAAGATCTTCTGTCAACTAAATGCCCTGAAGAATGATACCTTACCCTTCTTTATCCCATATAGGACATACTCTCACCTATAAAACAACTGTCAAATGTACATGGAATATCAGCTGATTATCCTGTAATAAATTAGGTGATAATTCTACGGAATTGTTTTTTTTTTTTTTTTTTTTGGTTTTTCTCCGGTACCAGGAACCGAACTCATGACCTTGTGCTTGCCAGGCAGGCGCTTTGCCACTGAGCTAAATCCCCAGCCCCCTACAGAATTGTTTTTATTTCATAGTTTTAAATTATCCCCATGTAAAAGTATGATAATAAAAATGAAGAATGAAATAAACTCCTTTATCCACTATCATAAATAGTATTTACATTATTTTAGATGAACTGATATATCTAGCTAGATAGCAGTTTCTAGTATACAGCTCTAGACTACCAGAAAAAAATATTTTAAACTCCTATTAAAAATATTTTAAACTCTAAACATAGACTTTTACAATGTATGTCTGAACAAATACTGCCTTTGCTATTTTTCACCAAAAAACCCAGCTGACTAAACATACACATAAAGAAAAACCTCAGGGATAAAGCTGTTGTTGTAGTAACTCTCAAAACATTACTAGATTTTCTTTAAAGATAAATCTGGCTACAATGTAAAACATGAGTGTATTAAACATTAAAATAAATACATTTCCCTATAGACTATTATTAAGAAAAACACCATAGAACACAAAAGAGCTAATGCCTCCCATTAAAAAAAAAAACTAAAAAACACAGAACCCCTTTCAAAATAGAAAACCACTGAAAAACTATCCTCATGGACAAATATTAACTATTTAGACAGCGAGATACAGCCTATAAAGCATCACCAAAATTATTAAGTAATATTTAAATACAGACAGCATCACATAAAAAATATATTTACAGTAGACTCCTCCCCCAACTGTGAGAGATATATTCCAAGGAGCCCAGAGGATTCCTGAAACCACTGATAGTACTTAGCTCTCTATATAGTACATTCTACCCTATACTATGATAAAGTGTAACACATAAATTAGGTAAGTAAGAGAATAACAAAAACAACAGAATGATCACATTATATTAGAAGTTATATGATTGTGGTTTGTTCCTCAAATTACTAAACTCACTTTTCTTGTGATGTGAGATAATATAAGTGATGAAAGTGATGAAAGGAAGTGAGACAAATTATACAGACACTATAATATAGTGTGAGGATACCAGTAAGGATTACCTGAACATGTGCACTGCAATACCAAAGACAGTCGATTTGCTAACTGTGATAGCTATTAAGTGACCAACAGGCAGGGAGCATATACAGCTTGGACATATGAACAAAGGGATGATGGCAAGAGATTTCATCGTGCTACTCACATAGCACATTTTAAAACTTCTGAATTGCTTATTTCAGGTATTTTTCATAAATGTTGTTGGACCATGGTTTACTATGGGTAACTAAAACTACAGAAAGTAAACTGCAAATGATCAGCACCTACTGCATTTCAAATTTATTTCACAAAACATTTAAAATTTTTTTCAAATTTGTACTTCACATGAAGTACAATTCTTTTTAGTTTTCCATGTATATTTATAAGGTACAAAAAAAATCCTAAGACAAGACTTAGGCTGGATAACTACAGCCTACAAATCCAATCAGATATGTCACTTGTTTTTATAAAGTTTTACTGGGACACAGCCACACTTATTCAGTTAAATGGTGTTTATGGCTATTTCCATGCCACAATGGCAGGATCAAGTAGTGAAGACAGAGACAAAGAGCTCACCACAACACAGTATTTTCTCACTGGTTCTTTACAGAAATCTGCTAACTCCTCTCCTATGATTTTATTTTCTCTGGCATGCCTTTCACCTGAGATGAGTGGATAAAGACACTGACTTTTCTTCTTGAAAACAGTATTGATTTACTGATAAAATAAAAATAATACTTTGTTAACAGTTTTACCACGTATCTGCCAGGTCTGATTCTGCATCAGCTACGTATGTTGTAGTGTTCACAGGAGCACTTGGCATTAGTTTTTCATTGACTGAGCAGCCTTGTGAAAGGCTTGGCCCTGGCGTCGTTGTCATTAATCCTGCAAATCACACAAGTGAAAAGAAAAAAATCACAACCACTCAACACAAAACAGACACTTGATCCCTGCAAACTGTTAGGACTGTACCATGCTGGGGGGATTATCGCATCCATAGCATGCTAAGTAATGTAGCTCATGGCTGTCTCCAGTCAGCAGAGCTAAGAAACACTCACCAAAATCATCTACAGTATCCTGTTACCCTATTACATCTATAATGGACTTGTCTAAACCAAATGATTTTACAGATACATCAAATCTTTGCTGCAAAGTATTACCAACTTAAAAAGTAAAATCCACTTAAATTCTAATTCAAATGTTTTAAGGCAGGAGACCAAAAACTTACATTTATTCCCCACAGAAAGTACATCTACCTTATATCTACACAAATCACAACCAATTTGGCCTATTATTTTGAAAAGAAACACATTATTTGAAATGAAGGCATATTACATCATTTTAGACATTTTTCACTATTCTACAAACTACGATGATTACTTCAAAATTTACTTACTAGAATAGCAACTTAGTTCAAGCACCTCTTTTGGGATATATTTTTTGAGCTGGACTGTAGAGAAAAATGAGGTAGTGATGTTCTCTAACTTGTCTCTGTTAACCAAAGTCCAGTAAACACTGAGAAATAACTGAAGAACTCAGGAAGCAAATAAATGTACACAGGACAAGAGTGGATGGTCGCTATGCAAAGGAAGAGGGAAGTTGCTACAAAAAAAAATTTAAAACTCTCTAACGTGAAGAAGAAAAGTTCAAAGCCAGGCATGATGGTAAGTGCCTGTGGAGGCAAGAGGAATGGAATGGCTAGCCTGGGCAATTTAGTGAGATCTTGTCTCAAAATTTAAAAAAAATTAAAAAGGACTGAAGATACTTCAGTGGTAGAGTACTGGCCTAGCATTCTCAGGGGTTGGATCTGACCTCTAGTGCTGATAAAAAAGGCAAGAAAAGAAAAAATAAACCATCTTATAATAGTAAAATCAACTTATTTCTAAAAAACAGGGTATAAGAATACAGTCATCCCTAAGTATCCAGAGCACTGGTTCCAGAACCCCCCGGCCCCTATTTAGATACTAAATTCTCAGGTGCTCAAGTCCCTCATATAAACTGGCGTCACATTTGCAAATAACTTACACCTGCCTTCACATATACACTGAATCCTCACTACTTATACTACCCAATACACCATGTAAATGCTAAGTAAACATTGTTATATTTAGAAAGTAAGAAAAAAAATTGTACGTGCTCAGTATAGATCCATTTTTCCCCTAAATGTTTTTGAGCAATTTTAGTTGCTTTTCAGTATAAAACTTGTGGATACAAAGAACCAAACACAATTAAAGGGTAACAGTGACTATCTCTCTGAGCACTTCCAGAATAGCTTTCTGCTCATTCCCCACTTCCAATTTGGATCTCCATAGTCTCATTTCCACATCACAGTGATCTGCTCCTTCTACCAGAAATGAGGTCAGCTCTCCACACGTCCGTCTTTTCCCCTCTTTCAGGATGCATGAAGTTCGAATATCACATCTTCAGTGAGACCTTCCCTGACCACCTGGCTACAAGAGCCTGCTTCCTGACACTATCACTTCAACTTGCCTTACTTTCCTTTTGTATTTGTACCCAAACTTATGTGTGTGTGTTTGCTTAGTTTTGAATCTTGAGCATTAGAATATAAAGATCACAAGAATTGGGATCTTCTTTATTCACCAATGAATCTTCAATACCTTGAATAGTTTCTAGAACATGGCAAGAGATACTTCTTACATAAGTAAATTAATATAGAAAGAGACAAATTTAGAAAGGAAATATGGTCATATTTCGCAAATGTAACTGTAAAGTGCATACAGTCTATTACCAATTACATAAGAAAGTTGCTAAAGAATCAATGAAATAATACTTTACCTATGTGGGGCTGGCCCTGAGGATTACAGTAATTCTCTGTACTCATGAAAATAACTGCCAATCCAATTTCTGCTTCAGGAATAGGTCTAAGACCCTGCCTGTTAGAAAAAAAATGTAAGGGTAATATAATTATGCTTTTATTTAAATGGTCAAGCTGAATCAATGTTTTATATTAATAACATGTTTGGAGTACATAAATATTAGCACTATTGTGGGGAACTAGTACATGTGCATAACACATCTTAATTCTTTTCTCTATTTTCATAAATCCCCTACCCTTCTCCTTTTTATCCTCCACTTTCAGGGATATCTGAAAGTTATGATATGGACAGAATCTGAAATGCACAGAGTGCTAGCATATTGGATCAGTGTTACCTTGAGACAAGTCCACACCTTTTAATACTTCAGTTAACTTCATCTATAAAATAAGAGGCTAAAGTAAAGGATATAGGTCTTTCCAGTTCTAACGTTCTGTAATTTTCAGAATAAGAAAACAGTATTAGCTAGATGGAAGAAAAAAAGACCTTTATGAACAAATCTATGATTACTATCATCTAAGATAAAATCTTAGAGAAAGAAGAGGGGAGTGGGGAAGAAGGGAGAAATAACCTTACATACACTGTATCTATACTTGTGCGTAAGTTTACTGCAGCAGTTCTTTTATCAAGTTTACATATATTAAGGTATCATATTAAAGGAATCTTATTGTGAGTCTATTTTCTGTAACACGGTTGACTTTACCAAACATTTAATATAACAAATATAATGCTATGTAGAGACTATAACTCAAATTTGAAAGAGGTACAAGAAAACTTTTAATAATCAGTGCAAAGATGTCTTAAGTGATTATATTAATGTAAAATTATTAGTAATTTGTATGTGCCAAATTAACTAAATTGGGTCCAAAATGTACAATTATAACATTATTATACTAGAAAAGAGTAAGACTTTAAAAAAATATAATAATCAAGTAATGGCATGGATCTACCTATTGTGTATATAATTCCAGCAGTTCAGACTAGTATTTTATTAACCTACTGGTTTTTTTGAAACTCTTATTTGATGTAAATTAGTTATAAAGATAAAATTTTTAATATAATACAATGAGTAATAATGCTACACAGAAACTGTATCACCAAATGGGGACACGTGGGCAGCATTTCTTTAAAAGTCAATAATGAGATAATGATGGCTACTATTGCATCTTATTTCAACATTGTTCTGGAGGTCTCAGGTGGCACAGAATAAAAAGGAAAGAGGTATCAGAGGCATAAAGATTAAAAAGGAAGATAAAACATTTATTTATTTATTTCGTCAGTCAGTCAGTCAGTCAGTCTTTCTGAGACAGGGTCTTGCTATGCACTTCAGGCTGTACTTGAACTCACTTTGTAGTCCCAGGCTGGCCTCAAACTCGCAGAGATCCTCCTGCCTGTCTCCAGAGTGATGCGATTACAGGTATGCACTACCATACCTGGCTTTATATATTTTTCAAGAAACTATAGATAATTAGAAATAAAAGCTGGGTGTAGTGGCACACGCCTGTAATCCCAACATTCAGGAGGCTGAGGTAGGAGGACCTTGCAAGTTTGAGACCAGCCTGGGGGTCTGGGGATTTAGCTCAGTGGCACAGCATCTGCCTGGTAAGTGCAAGGTCATGGCACAGCACCTGCCTGGCAAGTGCAAGGTCATGAGTTCAATTCCTGGTACCAGAAAAAAAATCAAAAACCAAAAACCAAAAACCAAAAAAAAAAAAAAAAAGACCAGCTTGGGCTACAAGGCGAGCTCAAGGTCAGTCTGAACTGCATAGTAAGACCCTCTCTCAAAAAGATAAAAAAAAAAAGGAAATAAAAAGTCTAGCAAGATGGATGACCCTAAGAAGAATAAATATCAGATGAATTTGTGTATGTTACAAACACCTAGAAAATGCAGACACAATGCCATTCACCTATAACAGTACCAGAGAATATGTACTACCCTGTAATAAACTAATGAAAGATTAAAGATCTCTGTACACAAAGTATAAAACTATGTAAGAGATTTTAAAAACCTAAATAAATGGAGAGAGATGCCATGTACATGAATAGAAATGATTAAAATTATATAAACTATTCATTTTCCTCAAATAAATTTAGAGACAAAGGAATTCCTAATCCAACAAGGCTTTGTAAAAGATAACATTAAATGTGTAGGAAAAAATAAAGAACCAAGAATAGTCAAGAGTCTTCTGAAGGGCAGAAAAAGACCTGTCTTTACAACCATGAGAACTTACTCAAATTTACAATAATTAAAAGAGTGTAGTACAAAAAAAAAAAAAAAAAAAGAGTATAGTAACTATTTTAGTACATAGAAGCATAGATTGATGAAAGGAACAAAGCCAAAAAACAAAGCCATGCATGTATGAACCTTGGTATAAAACAGAATCTGATACATTCTAAACAAATTTCAACTCAAAATGTCAAAATACTAGTAATAATTAGCAAGAAATATAGGTATCTTTTTAAAATCTGTGCATAGGAAGTATTAAAATATAAAAATCAGTGACTGTAAAAGAAAAGGGTAATTTTCACTATGTTAAAATTTAGATTTTTTGGCAGTACAGTACTGAGAATCAAATTCAGTGTATTTACCACTGAACTATATACTCAGCCCTTTTTATATATTTTTAAAAATTTTGAGATTGGGTCTTGCTAAGATGCCCAGGCTGGCCCTGTGCTTGCAATCTTTTTGCTTTAGTCACTGTAAATTCTGGGATTATAGGAATGGGCTGTCATGCTTAACTAGTGTTTTTACTTTTCAACGCATTGAACAGGTTAATTTATAAAGTGTTAATAGATTTTGCAATGCACATAAATAAGAAAAGGATTAACATAAAGAACAAACAGGTAACATCTACAAGTCAAAAATAATACACAAATATGCAATTAAAATAGCAACTTCATTCTTGGGCATTTATTCCAGTGAAATAAAAACTTATGTAAAATAATGTTCATAGCAGCTAGTGACCACAAGATTCAAGATGACAGTTATTCCTTGAAGTGGGACACAGGTCTAGCGGAACCATATACAGTAATTAGTGGCAGATTGTTTTATTTTTTGGGCAAGGCCTAGTGAACAGGTGAGATGATAAAAAAACAACTAGTAACAGGAAAAAGCTCACAAATTTGATCTAAGACCCTAGGATAACATAGTACATTTGTTGTAGTAGCAAGATCGTGTATTTGTTACACAAGATTTTTTTAAACACTAGTTAATATATCTTCATTAGTAACATATAAAACAAATGATTAAAATTTTACATTTCCTTCAAGAAATGTGTGAAAGAAAAAAAAGGAATTCCATAATCAGAAGTCCAGGGCTAGGAAAAAATCCATCCTTTACAGGAAACTGCCCATGAGCTTTTCAGATATATAAAACTCTAGGTCCCAACTACTTTTGGCTAGGTGAATAGAAATTTATTATCAGAGGGTCAAGCCAATACTTTTTTGGCTTAAAAAAATGCTAAGACCACTGAATACCAATAGGGTCTAGGGAAAAACCCTTGACGTAGTTCTTCTACAGTCACTCTACTACAAGCACTATTCTACGTCATCCGACATTCTTTTCCTTTGCTTTTCCACAGCAGCCCAAATAAGGGTAACAGAAATTTTTGTATGTCTTTTTTTTCTAGTGGTACTGTTACAGGCAGCTGAGTTAGACAGAAATATTACAGGCAGTCAGGCAGGGCCAGGCCCTCGAAGGACCCAACATAAAAGATACATATTTGCTGTGGGCCAGACCTCGAGACAAAGGACTAAACAAGTACACTCACATACCCCACTAGGGATGGACATCAGGGATTGATATTCTAAATAGGTAGCGATCACCTTGACCCATCCCCTTACAGGAAAAGCCCCTGTTCTGTATTCATGCCCGCTTGCTAAGTGACTCGCTTCCCCATCTGATCCCAATTTAATCAATTTTACCTGAACAATTCTTATTGGCTGACCATACTTTTGTCCATTTTTCCCCTACCTTGGACGCACCTCACCTCTTGGTTTTGCTCTATAAAAGTCCCTAGAAAAGACAGAGTCTTGGGTAACCCACCCGGACCCCCCTTCTGTCCCTCTCTTGGACAGAAGCTTTCTTTTCTTTCCCTCAATAAGTATATTCTGCTCTTAACCTCTGTTACTCCTAAAATTCATTCTTCAATTTTAGAGAACATGAACTTGTCCCACATATCATTCAGTTTGGGAGTTTTTATTTTCCTGTATCAGTACTGGGAACTGAATCCAGGGCCTGTACACTGAGCTACATCTTATTTTTAAAATTTTTACTTTTGATATATGGTCCTGCTAAGTCACTAAGTTGCCCAGGTTAGCCTCAAAGTTCAATCCTTCTGCCTGAGCCTCCCAGAGTGCTAGTATTACAGATCTGTACAGTTCTGGACTCACAACCAGAAACGAACCAAATGGTACCGTCCAACAAACACCAAGACGAATGGACGGCCAATTGGAATTTAGGAGGAGCCTTTATTCCTAGCCAGGGACTGACTGAGAACCTCCACGCAGGGAAGAAGCAGACCAGTCCCGATCCAGGGACGAGAGCAGTTTTTAAACCTTAAAACCACATTCTGTTTGGCAAACACATGTCACATCTGTAACAATGAGGGGACTCTCTTTTTTTTTTTTTTTTTTTAAATGGCAGGAACAGTACATTCCGAGAATCCAGGAGGGATAGAGCATTCATAATACATTTTGGGAGTCCAGGAAGGGCAGGGCGTTTACAACCATACATTCCAGAAATGGTAAACATGAAGATCTAACCCTACAGCAGGGGTGGGAACTGGGAAATAAACTAGAACCTTTGATGTCGGTGGTAGGGCTTTTACATGTACCACCATGCCTGGCAATATGTGTATTTTTTTAATGGGTAATAATCAACATTTTAGTTCCAGGCAATTTCTAAGGAGTTTAGTTTGAGTCTTGACCTCAGCCTAAACATTTTTTTTTATGCTGGGAATTGAACTCAGGACCTTGTGCTTGTCAGGCAGGCACTTATGTCATTGAGCTATATCCCTAGTCCCCAACATTTTTTGTAGAAAACCTTTTGTCTTAGTTACTTTTCTCTTGTTGCTGACACAAAATACCTGACACCCCAAATTAAGGAAAGAGAGGTTTATTTAGCTCATAGTCTGTGGAGGTTTCAGTCCACACTTGGCTGGCTGCAAGGCAGAGTGAGCACATGGCAACAGTTCATAGAGGTGGAAAGAGCAAAAGGGAGGAATGGCAGTAAGCAGTCTCTTTCGCTCCCTTACATATGCAAAGTATCTGCCCCAGGGCAGGTGCAGCACTCACACCTATAATCCCAGCATTGGATCATGGATCAATCATAAACTGTAAAAGCCCACCCCATGACTTCATGAGGCTTTGAGGAGACATTCAGACACAAACGGTAACACCTTTGTATTACTTTTTAATTCAGCGTGGTGAATTGCTCAAATTCTACTCATCAACAAAAAAAGCATAAAATATTTAAGTAAAATATGTATAAAGACACTCCATTTTCTGGCATACAAGTCACAATTAGTTCTCAAGTAAACTATGTGATACAACCTTTATAATAATAATTCTTGTATATACATTTATATTGATAAGCAGAGTATAACAAAATTCAATTACATATAAAATCTCTTAATTGGATTTTTTTAACTAGTGAAGAACAATTCATTAGTACCTTTGGAGTATATCCATAATTGACTGAATCCATTTTTTCTGGGAGTCAGGAATTAAGATCTGTGTATTTGTTGTTCCTATATCAACAACACAAGTTCCAGGAGCTGAAAAAAAACTATCTTCTTCATTTTCTTCTGTTATCAACCTAGTGTGTCCACCTCCAAAAACAACTGCTGAACTTAATTTTTTATGCTGAAAATGGAAAAAAATATTTTTAAAAACATAATGTAATAGTCACAATTAATTTTTTGAGTCCCTTCTTATGCAAGAAAAAAGGAACCAAAATAGAGGAATTCGTGCTATTTCCTGTCTGGGTCATATGAGCTTCCATGCTGAGGAGAAAATCCCTAGGTCAACACACGTGACTACGGCCTTGCAAACACATCGGGCCACTACTGCCCTTCCTTACCATCCAGCCTCTCCAAGTGTGGGACTACATGCACGATTTTTTTCCTACAAAAGAAACTCTTGGAATTCTTATTTAGGCAGACAGAAGGTATTTACTAACTGAACAAGTTAGGACTTGTTCTGGTGTTGGTGCAGTTTTCCCCTACTTCAAATATCTACAAGAAATCCCAAAGAAAAAGCATTAACAGCTATCAATGAATATTAATACATTTGACCTTGTAATGTTTCTTTGGGAAAATTTAGCTTATAGTATTACCTGTTTGGCATTTAAAAATACAAATGTTTTTCCTTTGAAGATTTGTTTTCTTTCCTGTCGTCCTGACAGATCAATATTTTTACTTCCAATAGCTGGTTCATCAACAGGTGGGTAGAAACTGCAAAAATAATTGAAGAATACTATAATTATATACTACTCTGTATTTATCATTATTTTGTATGTATTTACTATTATATACAACTCTGTATATATTTACTATTAAATTTGTAAATGGAGCAACTATATCATAATACAAAAGATTAACTTATATAACACCATTTTTAAGATTTTTGGTTTTTTTGAGACAGGGTCTTGCTATGTACTTTGGGCTGGCCTTGAATTTACTACGTAGGCCAGGTTGTCCTCAAACTCACACTGATCCTCCTGCCTCAGCCTCCTGAGTGCTGGGACTACACGTGTGTGCACTCATGATGGGCTTAAATTTTTTGTGTGTTATCCAGGGCAAAAATGATAAGAAGCACCTAAATGTATTTTCCAGAAATATGGAGACAGAAGCCATATATGATAGCAGAACTGATTTTCCATTTTCTCAAAATAAATAATCCAAGGTAGACAATATGAATACATATTAAACACATATGAATCAGAAGTTATATAAATTACAAAAGACTGAAAGATTGTGGTAAGTTTTTCCCAACCCAGTCCCATGAAGAAGATACAAAAGATGCATATAGTGGTTCACGTTACCAGATGTTATGGTTTGTGTCTGGATGCCCCCCACAAAGCCTCATGCAGTCATAGAGCAGGCTTCTAGAGTTTATGATTGATGCATGGTGCAATGCTGGGATTATGGGTGTGAGTGCTACACTTGCCCTGGGGTGGGAAGCCTGTATACAATACAAGGGAGGGAAAGAGGCTTGCTCTCTGCCGCTCCCTTTTCGCTGTTGTTGCTTTTACTGTTTTCTGCCGCCATGAACTGTTATCCTCTGCCATGTGTCACTCTGCTGTGGAGCCAGCTGAGTATGGACTGAAACCTCCACAAACTGTGAGCTAAATAAACCTTTCCTTCCTTAATTTTGGGCAAGGTATTTTGTCTCAGCAATGAAAGAAAAGTAAGCAAGACACCAGAAAAAGGAACACTGAACTTTGGAACCAGTGATTTTCATAATGATCTATAAGCCAGCCTATTCTCTGCTTCAGGAGGGAAATATTACTTTATCTCTCAAGATTTCAGAGTGCAAAAATTAACTTGAAGGATCTAGAGTATCTGTTTAAAATAAACTGAGAGCACCTCAAAAGTCGACTTGCTTCTCCTAAGGGGAAATTTTCTTACATTCAGATATATACATCTTTAATAAACTTCCCTTCCCACACTGCAGTTTACAAAATTAAATACTCCTTTTAAATGGAGTCAGAATAGCGCTATCTACAGTGGTACTTTGAGGATGGTTTACAACAATGAGGTATCACAAATCATGTCAGGTATGTGAAGCTGTAACTCTGCCTTACCCTGTTTCTTGATGGCACTACAAAGATAAAAAGATAGTTGTACTGAATCAGCCTGTACTTTTTTGCTAGGTAAAGATGTTATAGTATACATCCTAATTTAAACTCAGGACTAGTGATGATGCTTTTTCAGAATAAAGAGGTATTTGTGCAATTAAAGGAGTCACTGCAGCTTACCTCCTTTCTGTAACTCACTACAGTTAATATTTATTTATTTTTTTTATTTATTTATTTTTTTTTTGGTTTTTCTCCGGTACCAGGAACCGAACTCACGACCTTGCGCTTGCCAGGCAGGCGCTTTTTGCCGCTGAGCTAAATCCCCAGCCCTACAGTTAATATTTAAAATAATTATTTTTCTATTAATAATTGAGCACTCAGTCAAGTAAGTTTTCAATAGTATACCAAAATGGATCCAGACAGGTATAGGAATCTATTAAGGCAAGTGAGTACATATTTTAAAGTAACACTGAAAACTTGATTCTCAATTGCCAATATCAGCCAATGTAACAGCCTTTCTTGGTCAACAGTGAAGTAAAACTTACTCAATAATTTTATAGTAGAGATGTTTTAATGTAGCAATGTACATTAATATTGTTAGAAACTGGACCAAAAGAAAATGCTGAACTTATGTAAAAACACAGCTGCAGATTAAACAGACCTAACAATCTGAAAAAAAAGGTGGATTTAGTGACAAATTAAAAAATTTCCAAGATCATAGAAGACATCATCAGTAGTAAAACCTATCAGATCCTCTGCCTTCTAGTAATCTAGAATTAACAATGGCTTACATTCTGCAGCCAGGATTATTATTCACACCAATTATGGACTCCCCCAGAGAGATTCATCAGTGAGCTTCTGGGCAAAATGTCACCATGTTGAAATACTATAAGTTTATAGTATGCAAATAAAGTTTCTTGAGGAGGGATCCGTGTTTCATTACTATCACAGCTTATAAGACTCAAGAAAGGTTATGAATAATCTATTACAAAACTGAAGAATCTTTTTTTTAAAATTTTCCCTTCTTTTCTTCTTTGCCCCATCCCAGTTTTCTTTTCTTTTGAGCAGTTTCTTTCCCTTTCACAATACCTATTGTACCTTTTGGATTTATTTACTCTTTCAGGTTCTTACACTAGAGAGGCAATATAATGTTTAAACATGTGAGTCTGGTTTATTTCACTTATGAGTATGTTCTCTAGTTGCATCTCTTTACCTATAAAAGCCTCAAGTTTATCTTTCCTTATAGCTGAGTAGTACTCCATTGTATAAAAATACATCTTTTTCATCCATTCCTCGGCTGATGGGCATTTGGGTTGTTATGTATATAAAAGATAGCTAAGATAACTGTACTACTAATTGCTATTAGTTCACTGAAAGGAATGGTTTGTGCTTATATTGTTTGGTCAATTTTGCACGCCTGTATCTTGTAATCTGAACAACTACTCTAAAGATAACAATATGCAATATAACAACCACTGTTAATTTCCTATTATCTTGTTTTGAGATTCTGTATTGTTTTTGTTTTTTCCCTCTCTTTAAAATTAAACAACAAAAAAAGGACTCTTTTCCCAGAGTTCAAAAATATTAATCATCTGTTCACCAGGTTATAAAATATAAAAAACTTTCCTGATCAAACTTATCAAGAGAAAAATCTGATTTTTGGCTACCGTTGAAAGACGACATCTACTATTAATATAAGTGTATAGTCCCTGAAAAAACTGCATTGGAAAAAATGGCTCATTACTGCTAGTAATAGTTTAAAACTGGTCATAAAACTCTTTTTATTTTATAAAGCATGTTAATTTTTAAAACCTCTTCAAGTAATAAAAATTGTCCTGCAAAGATGAGTTTACAAATATACCATCTGTTATGATATACAGACTATACTCTACTGACATGTATTTTTAAGTAAGGAAGTTTGCCTGTTATTAAATTAACTGAAAATAACTACCACTTAAGCCTCCAGCATTTTCATTATGCAATCTGAAGAAAATGTCAACTTTTTTCTTTTTGTCTTTTTGAGACAGGGTCTCACTATACAGTTCAGGCTGGCCTTAAGCTCACTTTGTAGCTCAGGCTGGCCTGGAACTCACAATGATCCTCCTGACTCAGCCTCCCGAGTAATGTGATTACAGGCGTACACCACCATGCCCGGCTTAAATATTTTTCTCAACCATAATTACTATTATCTTAAACCATCACTAACATAATATATATAGCAAACAGACTTCCTAGTCTGATGGTTCATGAATTTACAAGTGTTGACAACAACAAAAATCTAGTACATGTGAATTTTCCCAAATATTGTTGCAATTAGCAACTTTTTTGTGGGAGCAGCACTGGAGATTAAACGCAGTACCTTTGCACTCAGTTATATTGTAGCCCTTCTTAAAATTTTCTTAAATTTTGAAAGTGTCTTACTAAGTAAGTAAAATCAGTGCCATACCTTATTATATTTGAAATATATAATATACCTTTCGATTTGTGGAGGCTGCTGCTTGGACTGAACTGCTTTAACAAATTCAGTGAAATATTCTGGCTTCACAATTGGACATCCACAAATAAGTGCACATATTGTCTAAAATAAAGAAAACAAAAGTGAATATATACTTGTACTTTAGCCTTAAAAAAACAGTTTTAAGTTATAAACTACAAGAAGGCTGTTCTATACTTTTTTCCTTTTCACAATTCTAAATTTAGAAAGAAGGCATAGCCAGTAAAATAGAAGACAGTATGTGGTCAGTGCTTAGTTATTTAGAAAATAAATATATTATCACTCAAGTTTAAGTCACAAATCACAATATTAATTTAAAAACTGCTTTTTGGGGAGGACGGAATAACCTAACAAAATATAAATGAACTTTAGAATGCATTACAATTATAAAAACATTTTAAAAGATTACAAATATATAGTAGAAATGAGGACATTTAATATCTGCTGCATGAGAAAACAATACAGTACTAAATATAAATAAAGAAAAATACGTGAAGAAGCTATGAGCCTCAAAATGCATCCACAAAATCTGCATCAATTAGAAAATATCACAGTGGGAAATGAAAATTAAAATAAAGATTTGTCATAACTCTAGGCAATAATTCGACTAAAGACTTCATATTCCTATTCATATGCTTTTAGTAAAAAAAGACACCGCCTAATAGGAGCAGATTTGGGGTATGTCTCTAGAACACAGTTTGAGATGCAAGCTTCTAACATAAAGAAATCTTTAGCTTCTACCAAGAAGCAATAATATGCAATTCAACAGTGGACGAAGTGCACACGTGACACTGGGAAAGCTACACAGTTGTTTTCTGTTTCAGTTTCTCAAGGTTCTCTTTTGGTTCTAACATTCAGTGATTTTTAAAGTCATAAACTAACATATTTTTAAAAAATTCACCAAAAAATAATGATAAAGTTTTCTTTTTTGGTATATAAAGGATCAGAAATACTGAAAATACTGAGAAGGACTGAAAAATTCTGCAGATCATGTTGGGTATCTCTGGTGGAGAGATCCACAGACATCCATCAGCATCCCAATCACTAGAATAATGGCCAGGTCTGTCACCGACTTGGTAAAAGCTCTCAGGATGATCTATTTGCCCTTGATCTTATTTCACACTGACCAAGCCAAGTGTATGATTGTCCTGTTTCTTAATTACTCTAATATCTTAAAAGGAAATTCCTGATGCCCACACTTAAAATACTGATTACTGGAAAGGTATATCCCTACTGTAAATTAATAATGGACATTTTGGCCAGGCATGGTGGTACACGCCTGTAATCCCTGCACTAGGGAGGCTGAGGCAGGAGGATCGTTGGGAATTGGAGACCAGCCTGGGATTTTGAGCTCAAGGTCAGCCTGAACTGCATAGCAACACCCTGTCTCAAAAAGACCAAAAAAAAAAAATGGACATTTTGATTTACAAATTTACTATCTCCAGATAGTAACTTATTAGCATAAATTAATATTATGGGGGCTAAACAGGCACTAAATATATAAATTCATTTTCATAAACTTGCAAAGATTAATCTCACCAAGGTATATATTTAGCTTAAGGTTCAATCTGAGCAGCAAGTCCTTCTATGACACCTCATTAGTAAGACACACATACTCTAATTAATTATATCAAATACTAAGATTTTTGAATCATTTAGATATAGATATTAACCCAGAAGAATCCCATACATCTATAATTATCCTGCATAAAAGGAGACAAATCACCTCCCAAAGTCATTCTTCAATTAGCTTTGAACATAAATTTGAGGAAGATGCAAAATCTGAAAATGTATCAAGACACTATCAGTGTTTTAATAAATAATAGCATCTTCTAAGGACACATATTTACACTTCTCTAGACTGTGAGGGTTCATTAAGGTAATATTAAACTATAAGAACTTAAATCTTTGTGATAAAAGACTTAAATCAAATAAAAACTAAATATGAAAGCGTATCATAAGATGGCAACAGAAATTGGAGAAGACAACCTGACAGAGACACAAGATGCTAACTTTGAAGACTGGGGGGCAGTTAATCTTTGGTCTCTTTACTTTCAGAAAAAATATGAACTATGTACTCTAATAAACTTCTTGGTAAAAGGATACTATAACTCCTTTTTAAAATGCTTAATTAAAACCTGAAAATACCTTTACATGCTTCTTCTTATCTTACATAAAGAGCTTATCTGAAAAGCCATTTGGGGCTAAAAAAAGGCAGAGGAAACAGTTTTGATAGTCTCAAAGTAAAAATTTTTAAAAGTCTGTCTATAGTAGATAAGATTAAGTTTACAGAATTTAATGGAAAAAGAAGTTCAACCTACCTTAATGGTAACTTTAACGGATGCCATAACAAGGTGAGTACATTCTTCAGTCCAGTTGTTTACTGTCAGTCCTCCAAGCTGTAGTACAGCTTGATTTAAAGCAGTTTTCCCAGAGACATCTAAACAAGACGAGCATACAACCAGAGGCTCACATTCTACTCTGTAAATGAAAGTAAGTTTCATAAAGTTATATTATCATAGACATGCAACTTTCACACGCACGATACACAGTTATTTTGATTTTTATGTATTATTAAACTTCTTAACCTATGAAATCATCACTTCCTAAGTCTTGAGTTCCAATGAACAGGGAAAAAAAAAGACCAAAGTTAATGTTACACTTTCACCTGTGAGTTTTTTTTTGTTTTTTTTTTTTTTCCTGGTATCGGGAATCGAACTCACGACATCGCGCTTGCCAGGCCGGCGCTGTGCCGCTGAGCTAAATCCCCAGCCCCACACTTTCACCTATGAGGAATCGAGCAACTGAGCGCCCATGAAGGCTCTCAGGGCCTCAAACTCTCATTCAATCTCATCGCTACCTGTAAGTGGTAAGTGCACCAACCCCTTGGGGCATAGTCCAGTACTGTGCCAAGCAGGAACGAGACGCAGCTGTTTTCAATTCATTATCCATATACTTTTCCTTTACAGTTTGGCTGGTGTCAAATAGAGCTACCCATTTTAATATTAATTTAAAAACTCCTCACCTGAATTTACTTTCAAACACTCCAAAGGTAACTCTATCTCCTGTCTTCAAAATTCGAGAAAGGCCATTCTGCATTTTTTCCTCATTAACAAAGGTACCATACTTAGAATTATCTTTTACTGTCAAAGTAGAAATTTCATCTGTTTGCTGCTGAAAAAAATCAACAAATAATGTAAAGATTTTTACCACTCAGTAATGTAATTTCCAAGGGAAAAGCTTTCAAAAAGATTAGTAACTTCCTGAATAAGGAAAAGTTAAGCTGACAGTAGTTACTGTTTTGGTTGCCTTCAGGGAATGATCAACTAGCAATTAAACTTTCTCTTAAAGAAATTTCTTAATCTCAGGATTCATCCTCTCAGAATATAAACTTTATTTTTATAAGTCAGTGGGGATTTTTTATGACCCCTCAATTTTATACATTTGGTAATTTTTTGATATGATAAGTCTATTTCTGGTATAATGTCAATTTTATTCCTAAAAAAAATACCTTTTCCTCTTTACATCATGAAAGTGACATTGTAAACACTGGTCCAGTAAAAATAAGTTTTGGTCAGAGTTTCATTTATAGTAACATTTACTTTTTGTGTAGGAATTTCAATGTTTTTCTTTGCCTAAAAAAATAGACACAAAACCTAAATATTTCTGAACAAATGCAACCTTTGCCTATTTGCAGTCTGTTCAAAATAACGGTTTTTCTTAGTACCACAATTTTTTTATACACACTATTACTAACACAACTTCAAAGAAATTTAAAGGAACAGTGTAGCATATACAGGAGTTATTCTTCCTAATGAAACATATCAATTCCTACTGTGGAAACATGTTTTTTATGGGAAATGGCTCAGTCCACTTGGTGTTACATCATCTCCATGAGCAGGAATCATGAAGGTCCATTCACTGCTCCATTCCCAGACTTGGTATAATGACTACTACACACTAATCATTCACACTGGTGCTGTGGCTTGGATCTGGTGTCTACCCTGAAGGACTGCAACACTCCTGGGAGATGGCAGAAGAGATGGAGACTAGTGGAAGGAAGTCAGGCATTGGGAATATGCTCTTAACGTGGATAATAGGACATCTGCCTCTTTTACTTTTTGCTGCCATGAATCAAGCAGCCTCCTCCACCAAGGGTTCCTGCCATGGAGTATGATGCTGCCACAGGCCCAAAGCAAACATGGCAAAGCAAGTACCCACTAAAACTGTAAGACAAAATAAACCTCCCCTCCTTTGGGTTATTACAGGTATTCCATCACAGTGAGGGAAAGGGACTAACATGAAGTGTGCAAGTAACTAAGCAGAAGTATGTAGTACTTGCTCTAAGTTTCTAAGTTATTAAAAGTATAATACTAAAACAGAAAATTCAAATATCAAAAAAACCAAATACCACATGTAACGCTGTCAATTATGTATCATTTTTTCGTTTTTTTAGGGGGTGCTGGGGATCAAATACAGGGTCTTATACACACTATGCATGTGTTCTACCACAAAGCCACACCTCCAGCCCCAAATATAAATATTTGATTTTGTTAACACTACAAGAAACCTAACGTTTCATGATAAAGGTTCTATGAACTCTCTCACATATGCTTAGAGATAATCATTTGTGATTTCAACTCACACACTGTGAACTAGAGAAATAAAATTAGAAACATACCAAGTTAGTTACAGAAACGTTAGCTGTTAACACGGCATGATTTCGACTGATGGACTGGTCATTGTCAATTAGAATGGCACAGTTTTTCCTTCCAACTACATACTCAATACCAGTCAAAAGTCTATACGGTTCTCCTAAGAGAAAGCAAAAATGTAAAATTTTTAAAATGCACACTGAATATACAGAAACATATATCTGTACATACATATGTGTACAAAATATATAAGTATGCCAGATATTTAAATATTTATTTCACTATGCTAATTAACTTCATATCAAACTTGTGTTTTCTAGTAAAGCCTCACTGAAGGATACAATCTAAATTCATGCAAAGTTATACCATATTTTTTTTTTTTTTGAGACAGGGTCTCACTATGCGGTTTAGCCTGGCCTTGAGCTCACTTTGTAGCCCAGGATGGCCTCGAACTCTCAACGATCCTCCTGCCTCAGCCTCCCGAGTTCTGGGATTACAGGAGTGTACCACCACGCCCGGCTTCTATACCATTTTTTCTAAAGAGAAAAAATACTGAATATAAATTGAATGTAGGGGCTGGGGATTTAGCTCAGCGGCAAAGCGCCTGCCTGGCAAGCGCAAGGTCGTGAGTTCGGTTCCCAGTACCGGAGAAAAACCAAAAAAAAAAAACAAAAAAACAAAAAAATAAAATAAAATAAATTGAATATATTACCAAATAAAATCACAACACTGTATGTGAAACCTGACTAAATGGATTCAGGGATCAGATCACGTCCGCACACAGGAAATACTTGACACTATCCCCGACTATAAGGCAAACGCTGAGGTGAAACCAGATAATCTGTTTCTGTAATGCCACTTTTTTGTCAATAAGTATCACCTGGCCAAGATGCTGGGCGGGAGCTCTGTGAACCGCTACCGGTTCAGGGTGATGCACGGCTCATGCAACCGGTCAACTCTAGTCGTCCAAAGTTTTTTTTCTTTTCTTTAACCACATTTACAGGAAATCCAAGAGCAAAACTCAGGCTATTACTTCAACTCACTCTTACTTGCTCAGCAACACGGGGATGCCTTTCTCCTTGCGTTCTGCCCTTTCTAAACTCATCTTTTTTTCCCCAATCATAACGTAAACTTCCCGAAGGGGTGACGGAGTGGCGAGGTAAACAACTGTCTCTCTACTAACAGTGACCACGCAGGAGGCAACCGGATTAACACGAAATAGCCACTTTCTACCGCTGCAAGTGCGGGAGTGCGGGAGATCAACGCTGTCTGGTGTACCCTGAGACTGTGGGGAAGGGCACGACGGAAACCGAAAGGGATCATTTCCGTGCCTGCGGAGTGCTCGTCACAGGAACGAGCAGCGCTGCGGCCGCCCAGGGTCCGACCCGCGACACCCGGCGTCTCCCTAGCAACTCAGGGCCGGGCGGAGGGCGCAGCGCGGCGGGCACGCTGAGCCAGGGCTGCTTCGCACCGTGCGGCCGCCGCCCCGGAAGCAAAACGGGGGCCGCCCGTTCCCGGCTCCCGCAGCCTGCGCCCGCACGCCCGCGGCGGAAATGAAGGCAGGCGGCGCCGGAAGTCGGCCAGAGCGGACCGGAAGCGCCGCTCAGGGGCTCTCCCGCAGCACGGGCTCCGGGAAAACAGGATCCCGGCTTCTCTTTCCCAGCCTTACCTCGGGCCGGGCCCGCGGCGGGGAGCAGCTTCCACATGGGGCCGACTTCTCAGGAGCCGGGCGGCCCTGCGGCCTCGTACCCGAAGCTGCCCGACGTGCGCGACCACGGTTACTGCGATTCGCGCGGGTTCGGACGTGCGCGCTCCCAGGAACCGCGCGAAACCCTGGGAAGTCCAGGGCCGCGGCCTGACTGCGTCGTGGGAGCGTGGCCGCCACCTGGTGTCCGCGAAGGGAGCAACGGGTGTGAAATGCTGTGCGTACCCATCTCCTTTTGAGGTGTGCAGGCAATGTGAGGTAGCTGTCTGCTTTTTTCTTACTGTGAATGAAAAGAATTTCAGAAAATTGTATCCCAATCACCTTAAGGAAAGTTTCCAATGAAATACATTAAAACATTGATCAGTTTTACAGTTCTGTGAATTTGCAGTGTCTTAAATTGCACTCCTTCCTCTGTATCAGTTCTGATAATGGTGATAGGGATGAAGGTAAAGATTTCTCCTCAGGGTCAGTTCACTGTATTAGGTCTTTATCATGTTTAAGTCAACTCCTAACTTTTTCCCCCCATCAGATTACACTGCATCTAACCATGAGAAGTATGGGCTGTCTACTGTGGCATTTCCATGTGGTCTTAAAACTCCCGCAGCCCCCAGATGAGGTCGCCGCCCACCTCTCCCACTGCCTGCACCCTGCCCAGCGAACACCTCGACGCACGCTGATCGTATCATTTCTCGTTGACAAAAGTAGTCTGCAACGGGGAAAAAAAAAAATCACTTTAAGAAACTGACTGACTTGGCTCTCTCCCGTACACCAAAAATCCCAAACACATGATTACTAAATTGAATCAAGTGGTAAGATAAAAGGAACAATTACAACTAAGTGATGTTTATTTCAGAAACAGAAGAGTGGGCTAACTGTAGGGAAAACTAATGTAATCCAACAGAATTTTCTTAAAAGTGAAAAGTCATATGGTCTTAATAGTTACAAAGAAAAAGCGTTCGATAAAATTAAACACCCATTTATGATCACATCTCTGAAAAATAGGAACATCGTCATCTAATAAAACACTTCTTTGAAAAAAAACCTACAGCTTGCCTTACATAAAGAAAATTATTGTTCCCCCATGAAATAAAAAATGAAACGAAAACATATCTAGTCTTACCATGTATTTTCATCATGCTGTTGGAGGGTCTAGCTAACCCAAAAGGGAGAAAAAGAAACAAAAGATACAGATTGGAAAGGAAGGAACAAGTCATTATTTACAAATGACACAGTTGTGAGCCGGGCCTGTAATCCTAGGATTCCGGAGACTGAGGTTGGAGGATCTTTGCCAGTTCGAGACCAGCCTAGGCTACAAAGTGAGTTCAAGACCAGTCTGAACTGCATAGCGAGACCCTCTCTCAAAAAGAGAAAAACAAAAACAAAACAAACAGAAAACAAATCACACAATTGTGTTCATTGAAAATCCAAGACTCTTGGCAAACTATTTGACCTGATTGACTTTGATAACATCACTAGATACAAATTTGAATTGTGTACCTTTATTCTAGAATAGAAAGTGACATATATAAAATAATTATAATAGTACCCAAATCATCAAATATTTAGCAGTAATCTTTCAAAAGATGTGATACAGGGCTGGGAATATAGTATAAGCAAGGCCCTGAGTTAAAAAAAATGTGATACAAAGCATTATTGCCAGAAAAATGTAAAAGTCCTAAATAAATTCAAGATAATGAGTCCAGGTTCATGGGCTATTATGATATCATTTCTTCCAAAATTGCTTTATATATTCAACATAAATTTAGTAATGTCCCAGAAGATTTTTGAGTGGAAATTGATAAACAGATTCTAAAAACCTACATGGAAGTGCAAACGGTGAGTATAGCCAAGACAATTTGATAGAACTAAGCTGGAGTACTAATATAAAAAACTATAATAAAGTTATAGTTATTAAGTCAGCGTTCATTGGCATGAGAATAGAAAATAGGCAAGTGGGTCAGAATAAACAGACTTATAGAGATCCACAGAGATAAGATAATTTAATTTTTCAAAGGTACCACGGAGCAAGATCTCTTTCCTCCTGATAAAGTGATCCTGAGGACAGTCGTTAACACTACATGGGCAATGCAGACTGATCCCCTACATTGCAGATATAAAATAAAATAAAAACCCCACAAACTCCACGTGGATCATAGCTCTAAATATGGAAATAAGAAAATATTTTAGAAATAGGGAAATCTTTCTTAAATAAGACCCCCCAAAATATTCCCTTGGTCCCCCAAACCTCTAAATTCATTGATGTGCTAGATCCTCAAAAATTCGTAGGAATTTTCTCCCACACTCTCAAGTTTCTTAACAAGGCCTCCAGCATGCTTGCCAATCCTTGCTAATCGCATCTGATTCGTGTAATTCTGTCCATATAGTAGATTATTGTGTCCAGCAAGTTTAGAATGACTAAAACTATGTAGATTGAGTTTCTATTATCCAAAGTTCTTGGGACCAGCAGTGTTTTGGATTTCAGATTGATTTCACATTTTGAAATATTTGCATATACATAATGAGATATCTGGGGCAGACCCAAGTTTAAACATAGAATGCATTTATAATTCATATATATATACATACATAGCCTGAAGGTAATTTATGCAATGTTTTACATTTCTAACACAAAGCAAAGTTTCATGGGATGAAGAACGTTGTGCCTTTATGTTAGCACTCAAAAAGATTAAGGTTTTGGAGCATTTCAGATTTTGAATTTTCAGATTAGGAGTGTATTGTGACAGAAGTTAGGAGAAGCAACATAGCCCTGGGACAGCACTGTAAATATTTTCTACCAATTGCATATGAATACTTTTAGAGTGTATTTCCTGATAAAATTGAGAAAAAAACATGTTTGTCCTACTGGTCGGTTTGAGCCAGTTACTTGAGCTCACACTTTTCTTCTCCTGTAAGATTTCACACCTGGAACAGCAGCTCTAATGGAGGTTATTTTTGGTTGCCTTGTAGTACTTGCTTTTTTCTCTAAAAGTTGTTAGGCTTTTGTAAATCAAGTATGGTGAATTAAATGAGATATGTAGAGAATCAAAAAAGGTACTAATGGCTACCATTCTCTTGTATTATTTTTATTCATTATCTTTGGTCTCACTATATAGTTCAGTCTGTCCTTGAACTCACTATGTAACCCAGGCTGACCTTGAACTCACAGTAATCCTCCTGCCTCAGCTTCCCAAGTGCTGGGATTATAGGCATGTGCTACCACACCTAGCTTTAGTCACTATTTTGACTGTGCAGTTTTATAGACTTGCTGTTGGCTATTTTGATGGCTCTTATTCCATAGGCTGAGGAACTGATGGGGTGTTGTTCTAACTACAAAGCATATCGATTTCTATTATACACTTGAGAACTAGGGAAATGACCATCAGAGGGGTCCATGTACTGAATGGACTCACTGTAAGCCACTCCTGGGTAAGGGTTTCTGTATATTTCATACCGCCTAGGGCTGAAATCATATTTTGGGGTGAGTCTTGCTCTGATTTGGATGAGTGTCCTCCAAGGTCTATGCATAAAGGCTTAGTCTGAAAATGATGGTAGTGAGAGGTGCTGTGGGCTTTCAACATGTGAAGTGTAATGGGAGGTTCGTACATCCTTGAGGCCTTCAAGAAAGACTGTGGGACCCCCATCTCTTGTTCTCCCCACCCCCTTTTCTTCTTTCTGGCTTGAGATGTAATTGCTCAACATGATGGAACACTCTTGTCATGATGTGCCATGTGTGTAGGGGCCTGAGGCAGACTTAAACCTTGCACAAAGTTGAAACTTGAGCCATCTTTCAACCTCTGAAACCATAAGCCAAAATAAACCTCTCTTTATTTCATAAAGAGCCTTTGTCAGTTATTTCATAATAGTGATGCTATCTTAGTCACTTTCTCCTAACTGGAACACAAAATCTGCCACAGTGTAAAGGAGGAGAGGTAGATTTTGGCTCACATTTTTAGTCCATAGTCAGCCAGCTCCAAGGCAAGAAGGCATGGTGGAAAGCCCTGGGCAGAGGAGAGCTGCTCACCACGTAGCAGTCAGGAAACAGACAGTGAAGGGAAGAGATATACCTTTCTGGGCGATGCCCCAGTGACCCACTTCTTGGGGCCAGGCCCTACCTCCTCATAGCACACTTAGCTATGGACTCATCCGTGATCTAATCCCACTGATGATGAGCACTGTGCCCCATGATCCAATCACCTCCCCAAAGCTCTGCCTATGAGTACAGGAAGTTTGGTGTTTGGGGGCATCTTCCTAGAAGCCATAACAGATACAAAGCTAACAAAGGCATCAGCAGTGACCACATGCAACAGTCCACAAGATGTTCTGGTAATTTATTCAGGACATAATTTTCCAAGCACATAGCCATAGGTATATTTGGAAAGGGGCCAGGTAAGGCTGTATATCATACATTCTTGCCATGGTGTTGCAGGATCCTTCCTTCCGGCAATCCTACCTCTCTTTAGTCAGTGTGTTCTGGATTGATAAACTAGTGCAAGTCAGGAAATCAGGTAAGAGACTCAGTTTTCATTTGAGACTGCTGCCCCCTTCCTTGTACTATTGTCTATCAATGGTAGCTTTCCATTCTCTCAGCATACCCTGCTGACTAGCTTCTGTC